TAAATATTTTAAAAATTTTAAATGTCTCATTTATAAATCATAAATTTATTTTGAATATAAATATGTATGCAAAATAGTATACCGGATTGTTTTCTTTGAAAAAATGGTGGGATATAAATCGATCGGTTTGCAGAGTCTGTCTGCAGAATCTGCGAAAAGTTTAATTTCATTGCATACTCCCAGGGGTAAAATTCCCTGAAAAATTGCTCTAACTCTACTATATCCTTGCGCAGGACTATGTGGCATGGAACGACGAAACCAGGACGACCACCTCTATTGATTGCCATCAAAACATTATGGGATCATCTAAGAATCTAGCACTTGGCCTTTTTCGCCTCATGGCGGCCTGGGATATCAAGGATATCACTAAAAATATACAAAATCGCCAATATCTCGCAAGGCGGTAGGTCGACTTTGATGTCCTTTGGCCAGTTGATAGTCCTGGTGGCACCCAACATTTCAGCACCATACTTGCCAGGATACATAAGGATACGGCTGAGTTATAAGCAGTTTTTTGTTGGGACAAAAGTCCATATTTCTCTGTTCCTTGAAGGATTTTTATGATTCTGATTGCTAATTATTTTTAAGAAAGGTTATGTCTTTTTTGGGTATGAAGGGCATCCTGATAGTCCTTCAAATTAATGAGATAGGGTGGGCTTGGAGCATTTTTCGACCATACTCCTTGTAAAAATTCAAGGTGATATTTTTTATCGAATCTTGAAATTATTTAAATGCCAATCGATAGTCCCCTAACCAACTTGCTCAAAAATATATATCCTTGCCCAATGCCCAACGATATAGCTTAGTTATAGCCAAAATAGTATATCCCTTTTACGAAATTTAGCTTTAACTCTATAACATTTGTATAAATATAAAAATATGCTATCAGCAATTGAGTTGCTAAGTTCCGAGTGTCTATCTCAAATTGCAGCTTTCTTTAATTTGGATGATTACGCTCCAAAAATTTGCAACTTACAGAATAATAATAATATAAAATAGCATAACAATTTTGTATTTCTCCTTCATTGTTTCTCTTCATATATTTTTAATTCTTTCTTCCATTTTCGATCTAAATGTTGCTGATCATGCTGTGCAACATGCCGTTTGGCCTTGTTGGCAACATGTTGCTGGATGCATTGAGGTGAAGAGTGCTCTGAACCGCAATTGAAAAATTAATGAGAGGCACTTGAAGCACTAATCACATGTAAGTGAAGCATAAGCATGGCTTACCCTCCAGTATGCAGACATAAGGCACAAGGAAGCGAGAGGGCGTGGCTGGCAGGATGCTGATGGAAAAGGCATTGGGGGTTGAAATTGTATTGTTCAATATTCTTACATTTTATTCGATAGCTCGTATACTTTACTGCACAATAGAAAGACTTAATAATATAGATATTAGGTTTTGATTGGCTTTAAGTTACACAGGAACTTAAAAGCTAAAAGCCTGGTCGAATTTATAGTAAACTATATCACAAGGACTACAATATATATATATATATATTTGTGTATAACTAAGGATTAATTTTTCACCTATCGTTCCCTTTGCAGTTCGATAAAATACGTTTATATGTCTAATCTAAAAACTATGCCTCATAGCTCTTGGCCTGCAAGTTCTTCAGTATACCCAGGAGTTGCAGTGACTCAAGCGGTTCAAAGTCATCAGCATAGCGCATCGCCGAGGTCTTCACCAGATCCTGTTCTCTGGGCATGTCCAATGTAAGAGGCAGCTGCTCAGGCATTACTGAATGATGAGTGATCAGCGCTTTCAGCGTGCTGAACTGCTTTGGTGCACCTTTCAGACTGTACATCTCGCTCCTGCTGCACTGCACCGCATAGCACTTGACTTTGTGCTCGAGACGCAGGCAGAGCTCGAAGCTGCGTGGCGTGCTGCGACGCAGTATGAAGCAGCCGGGCGTAGCCGACTGCAGATACTCTTGCGCCGCTTTCAGTGTAATTCGCGGCTGATACCAACCACACTGCAGTAGCTCTGGCTCCTCGTCGGCATCCTCATCATCGTCCGTGTTGTTGCTGTGTGTGCTAAAGCGAGGCGTGGCACGTTTACGTGGGGTGCTTCGTCGTCTGCTGGCACTGCTGCTGTTCTCATTGAGCAGCTGACAGCAATCGGAGATACCTGCATCCGACTCATCCTGGTCCTCGGCCATTACCTCTTCACTGCCGCTTGAGTCGCTGGGCTGACTGCTCTGCCAACAGTTGAGCGACAGCAGCGACTTTTGCGGCGATTTGTTGACACGTTTAGGTGTGCTGTCCGCACTGGAATTGCAGCTACAAATATCCAGCAGCTCCTCGTCTGTCTCTGCGTCTGCCTGGTACGAGGAGTCGAGAAGATCCTGCTGAATGAAAATATCAATATGGATTAGCTTAAACATTCTTTGAGCTATTTTCTCAGTCTTTAAATACCTCATCATAGTCGCTGGTCGGCTCCTCGCATTGCACACGCGAGGGATGTGCGAAAAGTTTTCGCTGCAAAAAGTTTTTCATGCTGTCATAGACCTTGTGCGTTCGACTCTGTGCGGGCTCCTCAGCTGTGACTGTTGCAACAGCTGGCTGCAGCTTGTTGTTCCATTGCTGACCCTTCTTGAAGGCCAAGTCCAGATTCTTGCCTGCATTTGTTCCATAAATGTCCGAGTAGCCAGGATAATTGATGGCATTGCGTAACTGCAGAGGAGAAGGAGAGGAACAAAAGTCTGTGATTAGTTTTGGTCAAGTCGGTCATTGTACTCCATGCAACCTCTCCTGCGTAAACCAAAGTAACAAAAAAAATGACCTAGCTCCTATTTCACAAGAACTCCCGCTTATGGTAGTCATTTTATAAAAAGGTTTCCGCTTTGCTTTCCTTTTTGTTGTGCTCTGATAACACATATTATGTGCACATTTTATTTCACACTCAACGCTTTATTCTCCATTGTTCATTGCCGCTCGAGAGTCAGTGCTAATGCCTCGCTCTCTGAGTCCCTTTCACTGATATCCTTGTAATGCGCTTGTTTCGGTTTCTGCATTGTCCTTAAATTTTCCAGCCTTGTATTTATTATTTGCTTTTCATTTGGCTGATATATATATATATATACATATATCCGTGCATATGTTTAAGGGGTTCTGAGTCTTTCAAATGCTTTTACTCCATTATAAAAATTGATTATTATTTGCTGTGACATTGAGAGCTTACAGTTTGAGTAGCTCTGCTCAACTTACGAACAGTTAAAATCTGCCAGCCACCTAGCTTAGTTGCTAATTGTTGTTGTGCTGCAAAGTGTGTGTATGTGAGTGTACTCAACATCAATTCTACCCACACGCACACTCAAATACACGCAGCTGGATACACCCCTTTTTGACACTTAGCAAACAATTCAAATCATTCGATTCGATTCATTCACCTCTGCAAAAGTATTCAATAAATACGCCAAAAGTGCGTTCGAGTGTGTGAGAGAGAAAGAGGGACAACGGAGAGGGTGATTGGTAAAGAGCCTGCATACAGTGACACTTCAGCACGCACGCACTCACTCACACACACTTGAGTGTGTATTATAAAATGGCAAAATAATGAGCATTCAATCGAGAACAAATCCTGTTTTCAGGTAGCTGTCATACACTCTTACGTGTGTGCATAGAAAAAATGAATTTATGCATTAAGCCAAATTGAATTTGATTGAAAAATAGACAGACTACCGATAGGTAGCTGGGTTTACAACACCTTTGGCGACTGCGGGTTTTCCCTTTGAGGAAATGCAATGTTTAAATTTCCGGCATCAATTTGTATGCTCAATTGAATCGTTGGCTGCTCGGTTGTTGCTGTGTTGCATGCAACATTAATTGTATGCCTTGTTGGAGCTGCCCTGGCCCAGGGCACCATGCATAAAAGCAAATAAATAAATCTGTTGAAAGCTGCGGCATGTAAGAAGCGTTAAAGTTCTTTCTGTCCATTTATCGGCTTAAATCAAACACAACAATGAAAACCGAAAGCTGAAAGTCGAAGCGGAAAAAGAAGGCGTTTAATGCTTCTAAAAATATTCAAATACATGATTTTTAATTTATGCCAGAGGCGCAACGTGAAGAATTAGAAAATGTTAATGGAGCAGAGCGAAGATGGTGAGGAAAGAGAACAAAGAGCTGGCTTATGGTAGTGGCCAAAAGGTGTTTCGTTTTTGGTATGCTCTTGCTTTAATAAAAGAGCTACCTTGATCCTGCCCTGTGGAAAGGCAACTCTAATTGATGATGAAGCATGGTATTGTTTGGTCAGCGCGAGGTGTTAGCATATTTTTCTAATCAAATTGTGCTACACAGGTAACTGAAAAGGTGCTCGCCACTACCTTTAAGGCCAGCTGACAACACGAATAACAACAATAACAATAGATCCATCCCGTGTCTACCTTTTCATGAACAGTTGTTAGTTTTCCATTTATTGTGCATTTAGGCCTCACTCCAGACTGAGATAAGGAGCAGGGGCAGCCGGAGTCGGACCTGCGGGGGCAGCTCAAGAAATTAGTTGAAGTGCATGAGTTGCGCTCTTCTTGGCTGATGATTTTATTGAAATGTTGCCTTTTGTTGTGCCTCAAGAGTTTCCATATTCTTCCAGCAGTACTCTGGCATATGCCCAAAATATTCATGCTGGAAATCAAACAGCTGCTGGAGTGTCTCAATAAAATGTTTGTTAAACATAATAGGCAGAAGAAAATACCCTCCCTGCAGGCAAATCCCACACGAAAGGCCAATCAGTAGCGAAATTTATAGTACCCGCGAATATAATTCTAAGTAGGCTTTATGAAAGAGAGCCACAGCCGGATAGATTTTGTAGACTCCGCCTGTGTCGAAAACAGTTCACGAATAATAATTAATGTTTTCTGCCATTTAGGATTATCTGAAAAGTTCCAAAGTTAGATTCACTAATGTTGATGTAGAGATGAATATAGATTAATATAGATTAATTTTCATAAATTCCGTAATTCTTGCCAAAGTCGAATCTCAAAGAATTATACTACTCACTGATTTGTACATGTTTTTTTTTTTTTTTTAATTTTTATATTTTTGTTCATTTGCTTTATATATGTGGCATGTTAGCAATGTTTTAGATATAGCTGTAAATTAGTAATATGCAACAAACTTTGCTATTAGAATATTTGAATGGCATTTCGTTTCGTGTGCTGCGAGGCTAATTTGACAGTTGGACAATACTCATAACACACACGTGCCTGTGTGTGTATGTGTGTGTTGGGGGCTTTCAAAATGTCAGAACGAGCGATATACATGGAACTGCGTCTAGTTTATGGCATTTTGGAACACTTCTGTCTGTTTGTCTGTCTGCCCCGCGGCGCATTTGAAAATTTATGAACTCGGTTTTTTCTGCTTCATGGGGATGTGGGGAGGGTGAGGGCTACTTACGAGCTCCATCTACATAACATATACCTTCCGTACATACATATATGTATATATATGTATAAACGCGCCCCAAATATCGTAAAATGATTTTAACATTTTTTTTTCCACTAAATTCGTTGTAAAATGTTTATAGTTTATAGTTTTCATTCTTATTGGCTGGGTTAGTTTTGATATGTTGCCTCTTGCGCCTTGGCGCGCTTTATCTGTGGCTGCAATTAGTGTCGCATTCGGTAGAAAAGCCTTTGTTTGGACACATGTGGCATGTGGCATGTGGCATTGTGCGTTCTTTATAGTCAGTTCAACACGTTCCACTCATTTTATTTCGTTTTGGGCTTTTTTATAGGTGTAAAAAATGGGGTCATATCAAACGAATTGAGCTGTTTTTCTCTCTTCTTTCTTTTTTATGGGAATTTAAAAAACACATTTTTGATGAGTTTATTAAATGCAAATTAAAATTGTTGAAATTATTTTCGTTTTTTGTTTTTCTCATTTGGCTATTTTAATTGTATTTTATGGGCGTTTTTTATGATGTGGGCAGCAGCCATGGGAATATTTTTATTTACTGCCAGAGCAGATGATTCTCTCGAGTGGCAGATGGAAAAGATATGCAGATGTGCATGCCACTGGTGCATTGAACTTGTTAACTCGTCGCCCCATAATTGTTCGGGTGTAAGTCAAAACACACAAAAAAAATTCGATATATAGTTTGTAATAGATGCATTTCTGATAGAGAGAACTGCTCTACGAGTTACGCTGTCGTAGTCGCAGTTGCAGTTGAAACAACTTTTGCCGTTATTCGAGAAGTTTTAAACATCGTGTCGTGGCGTCCAGTCTACTTTGTTGGGGGCTATCTGCTTTTAGTTTCCATATGCTCTTACAAGGGGTACTCGTGATTTATAGTTGAATATGCGTAAACGAATTGGAATAAATGGAAAAGGCTTCAATATTTAGTATTATAAGAAGAATTAAGTTAGAATTCAGCTTTTGATGCTGTTTCTCAAATTATTGTCAACCTGTTTTTTTTTGCTAATAGGATCCATTGGTATTCAACGACAATATCATACATAAATGCATGTATATAGATATAATTGAAGGCATCTGTAGCCCATCAATTATATGCGTTGATGCATCAACTACTTCAAATAGCCCTTGTTAGTGTATTTCAAACTCGCCTGCCAATGGCCAACTCGACTCTCTATTGCCTTTTTTCGCTTCACTTTCTGCCCCGTCTAATGCATACAAAATCCTTGTGGAAGCCATATGAAATACAAACAGTCCAACGGACGCGGCTCAAAGCCACATGACGAGCTGGTGATAACGATGATGTTGCCTGTTGTTGCTGCATGTTGCAAGCTCGTCGTAGCTGTTGCTGTTATTGTTGCCTTGTTGTGACGTTGATGGCTAGACGATAAAGCAGCGCAAAGCGTAAACTATTTGCTAGCCCGACCAGGCGGTCGATTCGCTGATTAGGAGGGAGTTGAAAGCTGCCTCAATTTTTTCTTTCTTGCATATTTGCATTACATTTGCCTGGCGAGGCATGTGGCAATCACCACCACCAACAACAACAATGGCGAACATTTTTATTGAGTCGAGCGTAAAAATAACAATGCAAACGGGCAGACGGCATGAAAATAAGTGAAATAGTTGTTTACTCAAAAAAAAAAAAAAAAAAAAAGAGGGAGAGGAACGACAACGACGCGTCGTTGGGGCACTTGCAAGTCTTGGTGGGGCTGGCACACAAAGTGAAGAGAGAGAGAGGGTGCTTGGAGCAATATGGAGCATAAATAACAACAATGCATGCAATGCGCCGTCGCCAGCCATTTAATTATGCTCATCAATTTGCAGTCAAAGCCAAAGCTGCCTCACTTGCTGCCACATTTGCTGCTCTTGTTGTTTTTGTTGTTGYTGCTGCTGCTGCAGTTGCACTTGCCCATAAATCTTAACGAGTGTTGGGCTGGCTGGCATGCTTGCCTGCCTGCACTTTACTTGCGTTTCGCCTTATGGAAATTGTAAATTAAACTGCACTTAAATGCAACGCAATTAATCTAAACTTTCCCAAGCAGACGCCCGTTAAGAAATCAAAATTCAAATGTACTTTGAGCATAATTTTGGAAAATTACATATATCATATATATATATATAGATATGCATTAATCATTGCACTTGAATGATCCAAAATGCCGACGCATTTGCCGCTAATCGTTTGATTTAAATTTAGAAATAGCCCACAGAAAATTATGGGCATTGCCTTTATGCTTGCTGCCACTTAGGGCGGCTCGGAGTAGAGGCGCCCGCAAATGAAAACAAAGTGGAAGAACACCTAGAGAGATGCTGTACTAGTAGATACCCATCAGCTCTTATGCATGTTAGAAAACAATCATCTAACATACTATACATTTGTCGTTTGGATGATTTTCGATTTATAAGTTCTCTTATACATTTTTTTTCCTGAACCAACTCATCACTTGTCTTGAGCAATTGCCGAAATCAGAATCCTCCATTCTACTCAGCTCTGCTGATGTGTATAGTCGCCACGTTTTGTCTGTTTGTCAATTTCATTTGCCGTTTTAGCTGGCGAATTTAATTTTCCACAGCAAAAGGAAAACCAACAAAGCAGAAATGGAAAGAATCTTTAAAAAAAAAAAAAAAACAGAAACATTAAATTTCTCATTCGTTTAATTGTTTTAGATTTTAATCTATGGCAATATGGACGCAGCACTTCGCGAGGCGACATGTGTTTGACTTTTGGGTTGCTTTTCAGTTGCTAACATTTGCTTGACAGCTTTATTAGTTTTGTTTCGACTGTATTTGTGTCTGCGTGTGTGTGTGTATGTGTGTGTGTCAGTATGCACTTTGTCTCCAGTTTGTTGCCTTATCGTTCTTGTACCGCGATGTGCGTCGCCTTTCTCTTTTTTGCTTCAAGTGAAAAACTCATAGAAAACTAATTGAAGACGTTTGTCAGCGACTGTAAACAAAAATGCTAGACATCTCTATTACTCTCTCTTTCGTTCTCTCTCCCTCTCGTCTCTCTATCTTGCCAATAATTGTTTTTGTATGCCACTTTCGGCGCGTTCTGTCTCTGATAACGGATGCGACGCCGCCTCAGTTCGGGGCATGTGGTAAACAGAAAGCCTAAGGTGTTGAACGATTTATGCGCCTAGGCGTACATTTATACGAAAATCAGATCTCAGAGTTTGGCTATATATATAATAGTTCGATTCGAGTGACAGAAGAGTGAGAGTTCTTCTCTTATCTTGATCTTACAATGTTTCTTTTTCCTCATAGAAATTTGTGCGATTCTAAGTAGTCAAGTCCATCTTTTACATTACCGAAATCGGAGAGAGATTTTGTTAAATATATTCCTGCTGATGGTTCCAGCAAATTGAATTCCCGCAGTGCAAGTACAAACAGAACAAACACACCCATAGAAGCTGTGCGACAATCCTTTTGGGAGTAGCTCAAATAACACCTAGTACACAAATATTTCCATAGGTCATAAATGAAAAGAAAAAATCTAAAGAGGAGAGACCACAAAAATCAGAAGATAAAATGCCGTCAACCAGAGACGGGTGTCAATTCCCGTGAAAAATGACGACGAGCAGCGGAAAACAATGCTGATGGAAACGCTGATAGAAATTGTGATGATAAATGCATAGCCAAAAGCAGGAAAAGGCAGAAGCCACAACTGTCACTGGCTTAAAATTACAAATAGATAAGAGATGAAGTCGCTGTATGCATGTAGTTTAACTGAATAATTACAAAATATGATATTTGTTTTTGCTCTCTCTCACTCTGTCTCTCAGTCTCTTTTTGATATTTCTCTTCATAAGTCGTAGCTCACAAGATTAGAGATTCAAGATCACCTTGCTCTCTCATTCTCCCACTCATTTGTTGCCTATAGCACACAGGTAGTTGAGTCTGTAGCTTAATTAAGGCATTTGCCTAATCAGCTGTGGCATCGCTTTCGTTAACGTAGGCGCTTCGCATAGATATCTCTCTTCCCTGCTATACGAATGCGACAACGCACATAGTGTTTGGGGTAACGCTCAGCCAGACGTCGCCTTCTTAGGCCGATAAAGCCTAGTTAGCGCTTATCTCGGAGATCAAATACATGAAGTCCAAACACAAATAACACATGTTTACAAATATGCCCTAAATGCATTAAGTTCAATCAATCATTATCTTTATGATTCAGTCAGCCAGTCCGTCATTATCTTTCAGTTAGTTCCACAGATGCTTGCCATGCTCATATATGTACTGTGCTCCGTAGGCGATCTACCTCTCGCCCTCCTTATCTACGGTCAATGTTTGATTAGCTTTCGGTATAAATCTGTTTTTATGCAAATCATATTTATTTGATTATATGTGATTTAGTGTTTTGTGTCTGATTTACGCCGACAGTCGGGTTTATTATGTCGTCTATCTCTGACACTAAATCATTTTAATTGTTGTCGTTCGTGTGTTTGAACTCTCGATGCAGTTCTCCGATTCACAACTATTCTCTCTGTCGCTCCCTTCTCGCCCTTCCTCCCCTACAGCTCCAGCATGTGTGGGGCTTTGAGTTCGTGTTGTATTTTTGGTACGTGGGATTTGTGAAGAGATTACTCATCTGAGTGCGTGTCTGTTGTGGGTGGAATTTGTGGAGTCTATTACTTTGCATATGAAAAGCTTGGTTACCGTTGAAAATAGGTTTTGTAGGTGTTATTTGACTATCAGCTAGAGTTTGTATATACTTGTGTGAATATTCAGGAACATATAATTGAATTATCATCAAAATGGTGTCTTAACCTATTCTGGGGTAAATTGGAAACTCTAATATATATTTAGATGAAACTTTTTTACATACATCTTTTATATGATATATACACAATGCAAATGCAAACGCTTAGAGATGAATATCATATTTAAAAAATTTATATATAATGATTATAAGTCTATAATGCCCTAGCAAAGTACATTATTTCTTAATTTAAATTCTTTAGTAGCTTCGGCCCATCATTCCTTAAATATAACAGAATTATTGATATTTTCACCTTATATGAACTTCATTTTGATTGCTGTTCCCATTTCTTTGTCTCATGTTACATCGATTCTTAGCATTATCTTACATTTTCCTCTTGCCAACACTTACCATCTTTGTCTTATCGTGCGTTTTCTTTTGCGTATCCTTTTTGAGTTTATTAACATTGTCCGTGGCGCCAAAGCGGTTGTATTGGAACAAACGACCCATTTTCGTGCTCTTCTGTTTACACTTAAAAATAAATAAGTACTTGCTGTTTTTGTGTTTTCACAATATATAGCGCGCTGTATGCAAAAGCTTTGGATAACACCCGTCTGGTCGTAATATCGTGGAACTTATTGCGTTCTTTCAAGTGTTCAATAACGTAGTGTAAATGAGACGCGAGCGCCGAAACGCAATCGAACGAAATTCGAAAACGAAATCGAATGCCGAGCAACGAACGGGAGCGAGTGCTAGCGATCAGCGCGACGTGCGCAGAGGGAATGATGGGCCACAACTGAATGCATTCGAAAAAATACAGCGGAAAATGAGCACGACTGAGAGCGTGACAGAGGCAGAAGCAGAGGCAGAGGCAGAGGCAGAAGCAGAGGCAGAGGCAGATTCAGAGCCAGAAGCAAAACAACAACCAGCAATAACAACAACGCAGCCGTAGCTCAGCACAGGCAGAGATACAAATTTCATGCTAGGGCAGCGAAAGCAGCGATGGCGGCGGCGGCGGTGGTGACAGAGACGACGACGGCGACGGCAAAGTCAGTGGTCGTCGTCACCGGCGTGGTTCATGCAAGGCTGCCGCTGCCGCAGCATTTACCGCTAGTTCACTTTGTCTCCGTTTTGAGTGAACACACACAAGCGCACACAGCTAGAACTGACGAAACACACACATACAGAAACGCACTCACTCACACAGTTAGAACGAGGGGCAGAGAAGAAAAACCACTCAACAAAAAGCGAAATGAGAAAAAATTTTACTACGTCGAATATGTACACTGAAAAAAAGTACGGGCCAACTTTTGTTTTGGGCGGGCAATCGGCACTCAGCAGTCAGCAGTGAGCAGCAGCAAATGAATGGAAATGAGAGCTCGAGGGTCGCACCCCGTACTACGAGCAGCGGACTGATGACTGACGACTGCGGACTCTGGCGCTGAGTAACTGCAGGGCTGACGTCGCCCTGAAGGGTAGTTGAGGGGACTTCGTCAACAAGTTGAGTGGGTGCGAAGAGTGGGGTGGGGGTAGACGTCAGCCAGCGGCTCATTCAACTTCGAATACCGCGTCGAGTCCGTTCGTTCGCTCCGGTCTGCCTTGCATTCATTTCATTTGACCAAACGACTGACTGCCTCTGATTTTTACATTTTCGGTACAAGCTACGACTATTGACGCTTGTTTACAGTCTGCCTCTTTACTGTTAGTTTTACCGACAACTCTCTCGCTCTCCCCCACTCTCTCGCTCTGCCATTTGCTCCACATTTCGGTTCGCTTCTTCATTTGCCTGCTGCACATTTCAATTCGTCTTTTCGCCTATTTGCTTAACGTACTCACTTGTTGTTGCTCTTCTTGTGCTCTACTTGTTGTTGCTCCTGTAGTCCCGCATCTATGTATTTCCTCTGCAACCCACATGGAAACACTGCACCAGCTTTTTCTTTTTTGTGTAGTTTTTCTGAAAGTTTTCTTTTTTCTATTTTGCTGCGCATAAAATAAACACATAAACTTTGCAGCCTCATTCAGCAGGACTCCTTCCCACTCTCTGTCTCTCTCTTTCACTCTCTTTTCCTCTCTTTTGATGACTTTTACGTTTAGCGTCTGCCAACTTCAACGTTTCATTTGCAGCATCCGCGCCCCCTGCTCCTCTTCATTATCATTATCCTTTTGCTACACGCTTTGCGCTTTTCATTTTGCTGTTTATACGGCCAACTATGCCACTTTAATTGAAGTCAATTTTTTCTACTTTCCTGGGGCCACATTTTGTTGCAAGTCCCTCACCATTCTTTTTTTTTTTTTTTTTTTTTTTTTTTTGAAAATTATTTGTGCAACTTATTAGCACCTCCGCAAATTATGAGCTTCTTGTTGTGGCATTATTTTTTTCTTTTTTGTATTTTTAGTTTTGTTTTGCTTGTCTACGAGCTCTGTCACATTATTAATTGAGTTGCATCCTGAGTTGAGCTTGGGGGCAGGTGACGCATGTTGTAGATATAAAAGCGATCGCTCGCCCTTATTGCCTAATTAGCTAGCAAATAGGAAGTACTCAATACTAGTATAAGCTCTATTATTTTTGTTGAGTTATATATGTTATATATTTTGGAAAGTCTCTTTAGTTCACAAATAGTATCTATAATAAATCGATCATATACATTTTAATCCAATTCAGGACGAACGGAAAACGTCCTCTTTAGATCTGATTTTATCCCAATCATCTGCTCCAGTAAAATTTTACTCTGAGCTTTTCAGATATGCCTGTTCTCTCATCTAACCCCCTTAGCTTACTATTAATCCATTATTTCGCAACCTTCAGCTATTACCAGCACCCTCTGGACATTTTTTACTCTCTGCTAAACAATAGGGATTTAATAGAAGCTAACGCCCATTTAGGGAAAATCTCAGAGCTAAATCTCTGCTTATAATTAAATTATGATATTAATAAGCCGCTTTAACAAATGTTCAAAATTTCGCCCACCCGCAAAGTGGGAAGGGAAAACGTTCAATTTTCTATACATAAGGTTTTCCTGCTCCCTTCTTCTCTTGGATTTGTCAACAGTTGCGAAAATTGAATTTGTGCAGCGTTTAATATATAAATTGCAGCTATCAATGGGAAAAGAGCATTTGCAGGAGACATCGAGTGGCATTCATAAATCAAGTTGCAACCCCTTGTGGCAAGCACTTACCTCGCTCCATGTGCCACAAATTCAATTTCATTAGATAAAAAGCTTTTCCTTAACCAATTTTTCCTCTTTATTTTGCCTTTTTATCGTTTTTACTTTTTACTTTTCACACAATTGCATGCAATTTGTATTGCATGCGATCTTTGATTYATAGAAGCAGCTGTGTACACACACACACGACCAGTGTTTGGCCCGCCCCCTCTAAATGTTCTAAGCATTTGCAGTAATTTGCAATATTTTGTAAACGCTTTTCCATTTGTCGAACTACCCTAAATTGTTTTTAATGGCCATTTGCACTTATGGAGAACTGCTAACTGCATCAAGGGGAATACAGCATCTCTATTCCTCCTCTGGAAAACTCTCCTATTGTCTTAATGGCTTCATCATCTAACATTACTTTCTGGCCCTCTTGTTGGCCATGTTCCTCGAGTTTTCTCCATTTAATTTATGGACCCAAATAAATGTTATAATAAATTGAAACAACTTAAACAAATATCACTTTAGATGAGCTCTTCGCACAACTGCAGAGACAATTCGTTGTATTCTTCTAATTCTGCTTCTTCTTTGAAATTAATTTTCCCATAGCTCAGCTATGCTGCTCGCTGGGGGTGCCCCAAGTGTTAAAAATGTAGTTAAATCGATTCTTCAACAACAATTTGTTTGTTGTGAAATGCATAAAACTAGCCACAGGCAGTGCACGAAACACGAAATTGATATAGTAGAAGAAGAGAAACCGAAGATTTAATACCCTTCAAGAATATGATAATACTAACAAAATATACTATATAAACTCTACTACATTACCAAAACAAAGAAAATAAAATTATTTTCTATTGATCAAACATATATGTGATTTATATTGTAGTATAGCTCTTATAGAATTAATAATGCCATCTATACCCTATATCAAACTCTTCTAAAAAAAAGTAAAACACAATTCACTTTATGGTTTTTCTTCTCCCTAATTTTCATTCACAGCATTTCCCGCGGTGTCTTTGTCTGGCGTTATTTCTAAATTTTTCTTTTATCTAACCAAAGAGCTGGTTCAAGTGCCTTCAGCGATTACGTTTATAAATGATTTGTTAGGGTGGTCTGCTCATATCTACCTCTACTTTGCACGCCCCTTCTCCCTCCCTCTCTCGCTCTTGCTTCTGAAAATCCTTCATTTCATATGCGCTGCAAAAATTTTTAAAGAATCACGTGTGAAAGAATTAAAATTTACTTTAATTTCTGTCAAAGCCTTTAGAGTAATAAGACCGTATAGTTTTATAACATTGCATTTCTTACATACTTTAAGCCATATATGGGCAATATATAAATATGCGGTGTATAGCCTGCAGTAACATTTTGTATATTTTCTATCATGTGTGTCGGCTAGATTCAACAGATTTTTAATTGCTATGCTGGTTTTTGTTTATGTTGCTCGAATGCTCGAATGATTTTCCCTCTGTATATGCACCGCCTTTTATCATAAATCATTTTGATTGTGTACTGAAACCATCAGACTTATGTTTATGCATAAAAGGGGCGTGCATATATTTTGAAAACGATTTTCAAACATTTTGGTTTGATTTATTTACAGCAGTCTAACCAAAATTATTGGTTGTTGTTGGTTTTTTCACTAACGCCAAAATGTTTTGAAAAATATTTTTTGATATGGATTCTAGATTTTGTTTTAGTTATCTAACAAGGTATTAACTTGTCTGTTCGTAAGTCCCATTGCCTTGCTACAAATTTTCCATCAAGTTGATTTCTTTCATATCAAAGTTCTTATTATCTATAAGTCATTTATCAATTGAAGACAGCAAACTCCAAAACAAGCTTTAGCTAAAACAATTTCTATTAAGAGGGCAAAGAAAACAGTGGAACGGAGGGACGGAGAGTCCAGGGAGGAGGCCGCGGCCTTACTTGTGAATGCATCTGAATTTCTCACACGTTTTGTTACGTATCAAATATATAAAATAGTTTATTTTATATATTTTCTCTTCTTAATCTAGAAAACACCCACATTAGTTAACAAGAAAGAACGATTCGAGCTACTACGATCTACGCGTTTTTTGTACAGCGATAATAAACGATAAAAACGATTTTTTCAGCAGCACGAACAATTATATGATGCATAAATTAGACACACTCCCGAGAACTGAATAACTAATTTCCTGCTTGGCAATTACTAACAACACAACAAAAGAAATAAAAAAGCAAAATATTCAACTAACTACCCGAGCTACACGCATTGAACATTAGATGGGCATCAGCTTGAAACTGAGTGTATACCCTTAGAGAGGGTACTATAAATATGTGACAAGTCGGAAGTCTATGAACTAATATTCTGTTTTTTCTATATATGCAATTTATACATATATAGATATATGTATGTGTGTATATGGATTACATTAGAAATTAAATTGATTCGACGGTCTTTCTCAACAATATATACATATATAGCATATACAGAGTAATTCGTGGGCTTATTTTTCAAGTATATTTCGTGCTTCTATTTAATTTAAGGCAGACACTGCACGCACTGCAAATGAGTTTCGGTTATTGCCCATGCATGATACATTTAAACGCTGGAAAAATGGAAAAACTTCTCCATTAAAAGAAAACG